ATTCAGAATCAGGTATTCTCCACACTATGGCCACTGCCCTGTGGGAGCTACCCATGTAGCACACATCTCTATTCAAATTCCATGAATAAATTACAAATTTGTAACTGAGAAGCGATGCCCGATAGCTTACTTACAGTTCTCTGGATGCCCTTGTGTCTTCTAAGAAATGTAATTAGACTGGCAGGCTTCCAACCCTTGTTTTGCTAAAAATTATCACTAGAATGTGATAGCATTTCTTAACAGTTATCAGATATTGTTATTTCAGTCTGTAGATTTGATGACTAATTTTAGAGGATGCATCAGATCCTCTTTTGGAGATAAAAAAAAATTTCTTCTTTATCCACATCACATATGTTCTTCATAGGCTCTACAGCACTTGTGATCAAATCAAAAAGAGACAGGAACAAAAAGCCCTGCATTTGTCTTGATTAAGGGCCTTTGGAAGAGATGAAAGCTCAGAAAGAAATAAAAACAGCTCAAAATCCACTTTCAAAAAAATCACTTAAGCTTATGAATTCTCTTATTTCTGAAGATACAAGAAAGACACTTACAATAAATCTTCCCTCTCACTCACAGGATGAGTGTGAGAGTAACTTACTTGACCCATTTTGTATTTCACTGAAACCACCACTTTTAAAAATAGGTAACAATTTTGACAGCAATTTAAGTTGCAGGGTAACCATAAGTCCAATGTGTCTATCAGCTAATCATGACATGCAGAATTTGTCAGTCAGGTGTTTAATGAAATGCCTCAATTAACATGCTCAGCAAATTAAATTTAGATGAACATTTTGTTGAAGTAGATTAAAAAATAAACTCTAAGTGAGAAACCTTTAAAAAGACCCTGCTTGCTTTTCTCCATCATAGCTTCCATGTTAAGAAGCTGAATTTCTGCAAGTCCTTACCATTAAGCTTACTTCCTTGCTTTCCTCTGCTGATTATGGACTGTATTGGCAATCCCTTCACCACAGTGTTTAGAAATTGAATCTTTAGCAAAATATTAGGAGTTCAAAATGCTAGCAGCAAGTACTTGATCAGTTTCTGCATGGTATTTGGCAGACACTTCACCTACTGAAGTCAGATGTAATCTAGGATGGAACCTAGGAAGAGAAGCCACCACAGCCTCATCAACTGACCAGAGTAGAAAAATATTAAATCCTTCAAAAAAAAAAAATTATCCAAATAAGCAGCCACAATATTTCTGCAGATGCAACACAGTCCCAAGGAGAAAGTCTTATGCCTAATTGTGATAGGAAAGGAAGGTATTTCATAAAAGATGCAAGAAAGTACTCCATTAATAATCAGTAAGATGCCTGAAACCTACAGACTTGACAAAATTATGAGAATCTATCAAAAAAATCAGTTCTATGAGCTCTCCAAACTCATTAAATATTTACCTCTAATAGTTATTCCAGCTTTCATAGTTCTTCAACAGCTTTCTTTTTACAACTTCAATATGCCAGAAAATAGCTAAGTGATTTTTTTCTTTCTCCCTAAATCCAGAAATAACCTCATAAGTTAATGTAGTTCAATTCTGGACTTCTGGAACAATAAAACAATCATCCTATAACCTAAAGCATAAGGCAGAACATATTAGATACCAATAGCACACCTATTGCTTGGTAACACTAGACACCAATAGCATGCCTTTGCTTGGCTTAACATTAGCAGATTTATGAGGTTGAAAAGGACTGATTTTAAATGAGCAGATTTAGTTTCTACGCTGTCACAGCTGGAACTTGAGCCTTATCAGTGAAGTCACTGAGAAAACTACTGACTTCAGTGAAGCAACAGCAAGCCCTGTAATTGACTTTCCTTTCCACACAGGCAGAGGGACATTATTTACCAACCATAAAATGAACAATTATGTCAAAAGAGAAAGTTGCCTGGAAGCCTTAAAAAGCTTGTCAGTAAGTCACCTGTGCACAATTTGCTTACATAGCCACTAGCCAACAGTAGCCAACTGCACCAAGGAGAAACTTTCTGGCATTTGGAGATTTGTCTTTTAAGGAAAGCAGCAGTTTCAAAAAAAACACAGAAGGATAAGGAGGATTTCTAAGAAAAAAAAAATTAGCACCACATCAGTTATCAAATGCAAATGTATTGCAGTTGAGAACTTGTTAAACATCTTTCATTTTTACCACCGAGCCACAAAAGCACCACAAATATATAACCTCAATGACAAATTCAAATTCTTTTCAGGAAACTCTCCATTCCTGAGTTCACCACTCCATTTTTCATTTAAATACCATCACTGAAATAAGACTTGTATAAAAGAAAGTATTGCTGTTAGTTAAATTCACATCTCAGATAACTGGTCTTCTAGTAATTAACTTTTTCCTGAAAGTTGTAAAATACAAAAGGTAAGATTTGCTTTCTTCTTGTCATGTCCAATTTTTCTTTTGCAGGGAGTTTTACTTCCACATATCTCCCCCTCCCATTATTGAAGTGAGGCTTTCATCTTTAACACAACGTGCATTGCCAAGACTAACATTTAAAAGCAATAGCTGCTGAGAGTTCAGATACCTTAGGAAGATCACAAAGGTAGAAACTTGGCAGAACAGCAAGACTTCAAGGAACCAAACAAAGTACATGAGGAAAATGAGAGAGGTCTGGAAGACTGTCAGTACCAGACCTGAAAGTCTGTTCTACAAAACACAGAAGTTCAGCAAAAATTGCTCAGTATGCCCAGTATATAGCAGCTGAACTGATAAATAGTCTAAATTTGTCAAAACACATTTTAGAGAGGCTGGAGAGAATGAGGTACTGTTACAAAGAATGACATCCCAATTCACAAACTCATCTGCAGGATGACAGGCAGGAGAAGAGTAAAACCAACTTCAGTGAACGAATTTGGATGTAAGCTGGATACAGCCCTGGCACAGGTTGCCCAGAGGCTGTAGGGTCTCCCCCTTGGAGATTTCCAAAAGCTGCCAGGACGTGGTGCTGGGCACCCTGGTCGAGCAAGGATGGATCTGGAGGTTCCTGCCCACCTGAGCCACGCTGTGATTATCACAGAAGAATAGTTTGCATAATATGCAAGTGTTTTTTCAATGCATAATCACTTGAATCCATATTTCCATCATATTTGGTGTTCTGTGGTATGAATTTAATCGGCATATGAACAGTGCAGGTAACCTCTTAAATGGGACTGCCAGGCAGTGGGCTCTTCTACCACCAATGAAGTAGAACACAAAACAATGCAGGCATACAGAAGTACTGTGAATAGCTGTACATATACACACCTATCAGTAGGACATGGGCAGGGCCATACCACCTGGCCTCAGGGCTGGAGAACCAGGGTGCCACATGTAAAGTAGTGTTTTCACAGCAGAAAATCAGGACTACAGGGTATAATCCTTCTGTAAAAGGTACTGATATATAGAGACACCGAGAGACTCTACTCCTCCTAGGGTATGGTAGGAACTGAAAGAAATGATCTTATACAGTCTTTTCTGTCGCCTCTTAGGAACGGCTCTTGGAGCTTCCCACACAGCATCCAAGCATTACCCTAGTGTTGACTTGTGGAGGCCAAAACTGCACCAAACAGGTACTGTCCACAGTCCAACACCCATGCTTGCTTCCTGGCCCTGCTCTTATTTCTTATTTATTCAGCACTATGAGCCTCAATATGGTTTTTGAATACAGGAAGCTACAGCCGTATTTTTCTATTGCCAGAGAATAGCTAGCAGCAGAACTACTCTGCTTCCAGGCTGCCAGATGCTTAGGTTTTCTATTCGTACTGCTGTATCAGCAGAAATGATCTAAAAGGAGCAACTATGAAATGACTTACTACTCTCATTGAAATAGAGACTAACTCTATTTCAGGTTGAGTTTCAACAACCACCTTTAAAGACATTCTAATGCTCTCACCACCTCACGTACTATGAGTGCATTTTCTAAACTTATGTTCATTGCAGCCTTCATACCATGCTCTATTTTGCATAGCTATGCAGCACAAGCTTTCACTTGAACCAAAGTCCTTAAATAGTATTAAAATACAGCTAGTAAAACAAACTTATGGAATAGTTACTTGAAATAAAAACATTGCTCTACTAATAAGGTTTTTTTTTCTAATCAGTTTTGAAGAGTGAGCATTTGTTACATTTGTTATATTTTTTTTTCCTTCATTGAAAGAGCAGTTTTCTAGTTTCATCCAATGTTATCCTAATTCATACCATGATACAGCAACATAAGCCCAGCAGTCAAATCTGAGTTTTACCCTGCCAGGTAAGGAGCATCTGTGCCTAACAGAACACACACACACAGTTGCACATAGCACAGCAGTCATTTCAGCAGATGAGACCTCGGACTTACACCAGCTAATACGAGCTAGAAGAACCCAGAGCTTGTCAGTTCCCACACTCCAACACAGGAACATTAAATGCATGCATTCCCACCTGCCTCACTGCCAGTGAAGTAAATAACCATGAGATTTCTTTTCACAAGAAGTCTACAGAAATAGTTATGATGAAGACCCAGGTATACCTGTGCAGTGCAGTGCCTCCCCTTTGCCTTTCTGAAATCAAGATGAACCAGTTGTCTTAAAACAACTTCTTACCAAAGCAACCATCAGGGAGCAAACTGCTCATCCAACCAAAGTTCTCACATCTGTAGTTGTTTGATTAGGTCAGCCATTGCAGACAACTCTGAAAACAAGAGCCTAACATGGTTCACATCCAGGGACAGAATAAAATTCTGTTCAGTAGCAGTATAAAGGAGCAGAGTGTTATAAAAAAATAGCATCATGAAAGTCACCCTGGCTTCCTGTGTAAAGCAATTCTCCTTTTTGACTCTTTTACCAGCATCTTTCCTGACAGCTTCATTCACGTCAGGAACCTGTTCAAGCACACATTTGCTGTTTTACTAAGCATTTATGCAAGAATTAACACTGTGAGAACCTAACTCTGCTCTGATCTCTAGACTAGTGGAATAATAAAACATATGCATACAGTAATAAGAAACTGGTTTCTTATTATGTGTTTCCTGGTTTCAAGAATGATTTAAAAAAGAAAAACAAGCAATGTTCTGCATGGCTTCAGATGCTGCTAATCTAATCGTGTGCTCAAGCAAACCTCAAATAATGCCCTACATATTTAATTTTATGATGGTATTTTTGTCTAAGACAACAGTTGCTCTGTGCTTTTTCACAAAATAAAGAGCATGGCAAACAGTACCTTAATATATATCTCGCAGACTGACATATCTCCTCAGACAGACATCTTCCTTCTACTAGCAACAGATGTTATCAAAATACATTTGTATCACTATCTTATTTTTTTTGAGAAACCTAACATTATTAAATAATGACAAAAAATAAATCAGAATGCTGAGAACACTATTATCCCCAGTCTCAGTGGGGATACTGCCAATTATCACAACCTTCAGATGTTCAAAAAGGAGGCAAAAATACCCGATAAACCATTTTCCCTCCTGGAAAAAAAAAATCACAGCAGAAATCAAATACTGAAAGATCTGGGCATTCCACTACAACTAGAAGCAGCATAAATGCACAGCTACAAGGAAGCACAACAGTAGCATTCTTTCATTTCTCTATTATTATGCTTTAGAATAAAAACTTACTTGTGCATGTTTTCCACTCCTATAATGATCATGAGATAGTAGGAAATTCCACTTTGTATAACAAAATGTAAGGCATACCTAGGAAGAAAAAAATAATCACTCAAGGCATTTTCATTAATGACAATCAACTACATTATTTATTTACTTAATATTAATTTGAAGAGGCTTCTCAAATTCTAACTCCATCACTTCTTACCAAAAACTTAAAATGCATTCTATTTAGGTTTGCAGCAACCCTCTCTCCTCCCAACAGCTCTCCCCTTTAGCTCAAACAGAGACAGTAATAAAGAGCAAAGACTACAGACTTAACTAGAATTCTCCAGCTAATAAACAAGAATATAAAAACATTGATAATCTTAATTATCAGGCCTTACAGTACTTTCATCCAGCATTATTTCATGAGTAAATAGCATGAATGTTTTGTGGCTCAGCTCCCATATCTGTCCCTTCACTTATCTGCAGCAACAGATCTCAGATAAGGCCACCCATATTTTAGTGAGCACAGTATCAGTATGAGGGAAGATTTTCCTTTCCCAGGCAGTAAGTACAGCAGCTCTGCCCAGCCAGCCTCCTTGCCCCACATGATGAATAGCTTACTAGGGATGGGGAAAAGCATTTTGTCCTTAACCAAACTTGATTCACACCTTCAGTTTGGCGCTCAGTAACATTTACATGTACTAAAGTGATGCACTGATGTACTTTGGGATTTTTCCCCATGAAAAGCAGCCTCAAAAGCAGCTACCATTCTGTTCTCCTCATCTGCTTTTTTTTTTTTTTTTCCAGCTTGTCAGCAACTGCATAATTTCACTCCTCATTCATTCACTAGGAGATACCTTAAAAGCTACTGAGCAAGGGACCTGCAAGAAAACTAAACAGTATGAACTCATAGAAACAAATTCACTTGGACACTGATTGACCTTGAAAAATAACTTTCAATGGAAGATCCAATCAGTACTTGCTGCCATGCTTCACTAATAGCTACCCTTGTTTAAGTTATGACTACCTAAAATTCAAATGCACGTTTATCACGTACAAATACCCATTAAAAGCATATTCACTTTTTCTTTTCAGATCAACCACATATAAGCAACACCACATAACAAAGACGTGAAAACATCATGTCAGGAAGGTTGCTTTTTAAACAGATGGAGGAATCTATAGCAATAAAGCCTGAAGATGCTCAGATTGACGTGGATAGTGTGTCAAGATTGCAGTCCCTGAAAATATATTTCTTTCAGTACAAGTATCAGTAACAGTAGCAACTTATTTTTTTTAATATGAGATCAATCATATGAGATGCACCTACTATATGGAGCAGTGAGTTTTAGTTATAAACAAGAGGTATTCTAGGCCCTCTGTGCTATTGGTCATTAGGCTCTAGGAGTGGCCCCTTTTCTTCCTGTCCCACATCACCACCACAAGTGTTACAAAGCATTACAAGAGCAAAACAAACAAAAAGTAGTAAAACCTTAAAAACATACTTGCACAATATACACTTAAGCAATAGGAAAAAGTTGGTACAAGTGAAACTGCATTATCAGTCTCTTAAAGAAAGAATATTTCTAACATCTCAAACTACATTATTTTCTGCATTTTAAAAAGCTTTTTGTTCCACAGATATAAGAAAACTGTTTAGTAAAAGAGAAATACGTTGCTAAAATAACTGTGCCAAGTATGATCCAGAGCAAACAAGAAGAACCTGGATTTCTATCATGGAACACAATTTCTCCACAATGTCTTTTTTTCGGATTTACTGCCAATGAGAAAGAAGCTTCCACAAGTCTTTATTTACGTCTGCTGGGAATGGAGGTTTTCTTTCTCAAGTCTCCCAGCTACAACATTGAGATAGGAATATTTGGTTGCACTTGTCATTACAACTACACTTAATGATTTCTGCTTCCAAAGCAATGCAGATACAGAACGTGCTTCTAAAGCTTACACAGCTCTCACCAAAACCACACACATCTGCTGTATCATTCTTCCTGTTTGCAGCTAGGACCTCAAGTCTTTGACAGCAGATTGCTCAAAGCAAAAATACCAGGGCCAAAAGTTGAATAAATGTATGGGAGTTACACAGATACATATATAAATAAATTGCATACGTAAATCCAAAGACTAAAAGTTTGATGTTTCCTAAATTTAGAAATAATACTTATCAAATTATGTTGGACAGCCTCTGTAACATGCCAAAGTAGAGACCAAATCTGTGGCTTGGAATCCAAGATGTATTTATACATGCTGTGCACAGACACACAGCGTGCACATGCCGTATGCATCTTCCCATCTGCACCCACACTCCAGCTTGAGGGAAAGGATTAATTCCTTACAGTCAGTGTAAATCTAAGCCCCCTATATACTTAAAATTGAAAAAGCAGTTTGCTTGCAGTGCACTGAGCTGAACTGGCTCTTAATTCAGCTTGGGAAGATGAGAGCCATTTCATAATTTTGAAAAAGAAAAAAGAAAAAACACTCAACTAAACACATTCTCTTTATTACCCCTACTGTCATTCTGCCTTGGTATGCTCTGCAAAGATCAAGGTGTGAAAGCAGCAGTCAGAGAAAATTTAAGTTTTTAAACAAAGCTCCTCCTATAAAACAAAAAGAAACACATTAATGTACCCCAAACTCTCAAACCAAGAACAACTCCTTTTCAGGGGCTTGATACTACTGGGAACATCATCAGCTCTGCAGTGCTTGTCACCCTTCCTGTAACAAGTCCGATGATTTCAATACTCAGAAGAGGACCTGGAGAGTTAGTGCATGCAGATATTGTTGAGGAGAAATGCTCTCACCACATCTTCAGTGTCCCAAGAGAACACCTTCCAAGCACATTTAAGCTGCACCTGCTGCATCCTCCCAAAACCACAAGAAGAGAGCGTTAGCTACCAGCTCACAAATGGAAGCTCTTTCAAAACTTCTGCACTTCAGAAAATTTAAGTCACTTGCTGTACATTTGCAACAGCTAAAAAACACAGGTAATGTTCTTCACACGAAAGCATTGCTTCCTGCAAACAAGGCATGAAAAATGTATGAATCCTTTAGAAGTGAAATTAAGTGCAACTTACCATCCAAAACAAAAAAGTGCAAGATAAAGGCCCAAGAGGGTTGCAACAACATGTCTTATAAATGGGCTAGTTTTGCTTGAATGAAGGTATGTTCGAAACCAAATAGCCGCAAGCAAGGCAAACAGTTGGCACACTACGAAGTTGACCTGCATAAAAAAGAAAAAGAACAATTCTCACACTTGTGTATTAAAACTAGCTGACAAACTATAAATAGTTTGCAACTTGCAGAACTTTGGGCTCTCCCACAGCTCTTCTCACAGCACATCACCTTTAGAGCTCCATCCAGCACAAAGCAGGGCTCCCCACCAGCAACCACATAGAAAGGATTCCTCGAAGCTGTAGAGGCAATCTGGGCACATATCAAACAAGTTCTGTACACCAAACCACTCTTCTCTCAATCACGGGCACATTCATACTTCTCAGTAACGCAAAGATGCAGGTTTGGTTTTTATTTCCTTTTTTTTTCTTTTTTTTTAACTTAATTACATGAACGGAACTTGGGACAACATGCAACCACAACCTACAGAACTCATCTTCTTAACCATCCACAGATTTCCCATTTGCAAGGAATAATTCCCCTTCTACTGTACTACTCCAAAGACTTCTGCACCAGCGAGTTACACAAGCATTAAATGCTAGCAGGGAAAGCAGCTGTGGGCACAGAGCTGCTCTTCTTAACAGAGAAGGTTCCCTAAACTCAACTGTCACTTACGCTTGGCCATCCATTTGCTTACTCCCACATTTACATTATGCTTTTAACAGTAACTGAAAAATCCTAAATGAATGAGGAGATATTCTTTCAGGGCATAACTTGACCTGTTTTCTCTCCATTATACGCATTGATGCAAATGAAAAAGAATGAGATTTATAAGTCGGGATGAGTTTCTGGGTTTAGTGGAAAAGTTCCGTACAGTTGGATTTAATGAACCACTGAAAGAAACAAACTGATCAAATATGCAGAGGGAAAGAAAAAAAAGCCCAAGTCTATGGCTTACTTAACTATGAAGTCAGTATTGACATTTGTTTTGAATATTTCTGATGGAAATGGCATTACAGTACATCTGTTTGCGACCCCAAGAACTCACGCCCCAGGCAGACTGGGATGGGGAGTGAGAGAAGAGAGGTTACATCTGGAAGCAAGGTGGCAAGGACTGAGGAAGAAAGGCCAACAACGTCTGGCTCCTATGGCTGCCATGGCAAGGGGAGAAGCGCTCCGCATCTCCAACCTGTACCACTGTTTCTACAGGAGTGGACAAGCTAAACAGCAGACCCTGAGCTTCACAACTCAGGATAAACCTGTGGCTTTAGGGATGTGGAAGAACCCCAACTGACACAAAAAAGTACAAAAATCTAAGGATGTCAGCTTACAGTGTTGGTCTTCAAAACGCACAAACAAATGACCCAAGCAACACAAGCCTGTTCTGAAATCCCTCCTCACAAGTGACTCCATGGTTAGCAGGGAGTGCTTTTAAACTGCTCTTCCCAAAAATGCACAGATGGACGCACACTGGGATGCACAAAAGACACCACCACAACATTCACACAGCACCTCAGGGCCATCTCCTAACCCTACCTATCCAACCCTAATATCCGCCTCACAAGGCACAGAAACATGGATTAGAAAGCACCAATGGTTTTTACAGCCTTGTATTATATCAGGTGCCCCCAAAGCTTTAAATACATATTTACAAAAGCAAAATACACATAAGTTAATAGTTGAAAACCATGCAACTCCCATTTAGCCTTTACATATACCTCCTCCTGGTAATGCTCCTCTGTTCTCCCCAGCTGGATTTCTGCTTCATTCAGCACATGGACAGTTGCCCAGTTTTTGCCTGTATCCTCCAAGCCATTAAATACTTACCATCTGCATCTACACCGAATACAAAACCTTACATTTCCCACAGGCATGTTTATGCAGATCTGACCACAGCATGGGAAGAATATACAAGATAATGAAAGTCCAAAGTGTAAACTAAATGCCCACTAATTTCAACTGCCTAATTTCCAACACACAGTGCCTGGTTTTTCAGTCAGTACTTTCAACAGAACTTCAATTGGAGCTGTGCTTTGAACATACAGCTTCAGCTGCTCTTATGAATATTCAGCATTCCTATAAATAAGGCCCAAAGTAGCTCGGAACACAAGCAAAACCTGAAGTCATCACGATGACATTTTCATTATGTTATTTCTCCAGATCACTAGAACTCTGTGGCAGACACAGATGTGAAAAAACAGCAAAGCAGGAGGACCCGTATTCTGAATGAGGAAAGGAGATCACATGAAGAGAAGGTGTGACCATTGCTGGGCTGTATCACAGTCAGATAATCATCATCTGATGCTTCTCCTGATGTTTAAACATATGCTATCACAGGCTAAGCATTCACTTTGTAGACACTTGAATATCTGATTCCTTACATTTTAAAAAGAAACAAAACACAGCATTTCTACAACAAACTCAGTGCTCACCTGTTTGCAATTACCAGTTATTGCTTCAGCTCAAAGCACAGATTCCTGCCACTCCAGCTATCAAAAGTATCAACTCATTTCATATGGAAATAAGATTAATCCACTGTTGGTCCTATAGGAGGTAAAGAGAGACTCTAGGCTTCCAAAGCCCATCCTGCTCACTTCCAATTCCAGTATCTATGTCACGCTGTAGGGCAAACAGACAGGTGGGCTGCTGAAGCAGCCTCCCAAGCATCCTCACTTAAAGATGCTTTGGCATGCATGGTCCACACAAATCAGATACATGCATATTTTAATTTAACCTGAACCAGAAGATACGTTCCAAAAGAAATGGGACATCTACTCTGTGGACTAGACCTCAGCAGCAGAATTTCCTAAAATCATCACAGCATCAGTGATGGGTCTTCGTTAGCAATAACATCCTACAGATACACTCCTACTGCACTTGATGCAACTTGCATACAACTCCTATTGTACTTAATGCAAACAAAGCCAAAATTCAACATTCAGCCTTTTCTCAATCACATCTCCCATCTTCACTTGGCCTTAACTAGCAAGAGCTCTGCCCTGAGCTGCACAGTCATCTGCAGACATACAACTTGCCTTGAAATACAGCATGAAAGTGAGCCATCTTGCCAGAAGGCAAATGAAACAGTCACTCCGAGAGCAAACAAGGAGCGAGGTACAAGGGCAGGGCTGGACATCATCACTGCAAGCTTACACAGAAAACGTGCACAGCCAAGCAGCTATTCAGTTGGCAAATATCACATATGGTAACTTCAACATCTGGGAGTGATAGACTTGGGTACTTCCTGAAAGCTTACATTAAACCCTTTCAACATTCTGAGTATGGGCAGAATACAACTTTTAAACACCTTAGACTCAAACAGAACGCCCACAAGGAACAAAGATAACACACCATGAAAGTAGCATGATTCATTCCACAAACCCAACTCTAGTTGTCTCCCCTAAGTCATAAAAGCCACTCCTACAAGCAGCTCAGGTTTTATGGAGGAATAAAAACTTGGATCCATTTGAAGTAAAGTCTTAGGGGTAAAAAATATATATATCTGATCCAATGTGTGGAACAGCAGGTTTCACCCCAAGGTGTTGTAATTCAGTATATCTATAAAAGAAAAATGGAGTTTTTGACCTCCTCATGTTACAGGCCATATAAGCTGAGCTTATAGGGACTGTAACACCTATGCTCCCTATATAACTTTCCATCACATGCTGCTGTATGTGCACATGGAAGAATAAAAAAAGCAACAATGATGATGCAAATGATCAGCAATGATCATTCAGCAACTACTGAAACAGATGCCTATCAAATCCCTCTAAGAAATATAAAGGTATTCCAAAACTTGCTACATGTATCCTTGCAATTTTCAAGTTCAATCCACTGTTCTGGTGCAGGAACAGTGGTACAGCACAGTTTCTCTGCACCTTTTGTGCCAAACGTGGCAGTGCCACATGAGTACAAACCAGTTTCAATGCCTGGGCTATTTGAACTCAGCTGATCTATTAAACTCACTGCACTGTTAAATGCATTAATCTACATGACAAATTTCCCACTTGCATACGCTGTGCAAATGTCAATAGAAAGTCTGTAACAAAACTTCTTTAAAAAACATTGATTCTAGATTTTTAGATGTTTAGATGCAATTTGTGACACACAATTGTAAAAACACTGTTTCTCAAGAAAAGCATTTGAGGAATCTATTCCTTATAAAAGGAAAAGAAGAAAGTTACTGACTGCTCAGGATTTCCAGCTTCAGAGTTTTGGCAAAAAATACTTAATTTGAACTGCTAGAAATGGCCAATCTTTGACATAGGCAGCATCTAAAAAATACTAATGGTTTGTTAAAAGTTTACATTAGAATGAAGTACAGAAGATCATTTCTCCCAAACTTGTTTTTAATACACTGCTGTGCAACTTTTACGCACCGATGAAGATTTTAATGACGGTAACACCTAGAAATCCCATATCACTGCCCATTGCATACTGCTCTTCATGCCAGTTAAGTCACAGCCATTTCCCTTCCCCCAGAGCCATCAGCTAAAGACTTGAAAACATCTACAGATATTCCCCAAGAGCTCCTTTCAACTCAGGAGAGCTGACGCTTCCCTGTGGCACCCAAAGAGCAGTACAGACAGCTCTCCTGTCCAATTTCTAACCTCCATCCAGCAGAAGAAGAACAATCGGCTTGCACAATGATCCTGTAATTGCCTATTGCCAAACCACTAAGAAACCAAAAGTGACAACTATTATTATTTGAAAGCAACAATCAATTTTTCAATCAAAAAAATAATCCCTTGACAAGAATGAAAATCAAAGCGTCCAGTAGCTTACTTCAATTATTTGGGAAAGGTCAGAAAGAATCCCAGAGACCATCAATATTGGATGAAGTTGAAGGATACTTGAGCGTTCCATTCAGACAACATCACGAACTGACAGGGCATTCCTCCTTCAATTCAAAAGCCATAAGTCTTGTAGTGATGCTTTCATGTCCACTTTTGGTTCAAATAATACCTATCACCTTCCATGACAAAGATTGAACTCTTCAGCACTCCTGCCTTGATGTCTCAACCTCAACCCAGGAGGAATCCCACGAGGAAAAGTATGTGAAGCAGCAGTAATTATTTTAGGCAGTATCAGTGTGGGAGATGTTAACTT